TTTAGTTTTGTAAATCTTAAAAACGAAGTCTTAGCCTTTCTAGGATGGCCATATTACATCTTAAAAAGATTGACTATATTATACGCAATGTTTACTTTATTGGATTTCTTTTCTCATTACCAAAAGGAATCTATAACACATGCGCCATACATACACAAGTAAACCGACAAGCCAGCGTAGCACGCATATTATTTGCAGGATTTTTTGGAATATTTTCATCATCAATAAACAAAATCCTCTTAGATGCACAAATTAAAGAATATAAAACAAAACTATCAACAAATCCCAACACATACGATGACTCAAATAATAATACAAATGCATTACCTACGGCACCCCATTTACCAAATCTACATCATAATCACCCATTATCATTAGCCTCACGAAATTTTCGGATTTTAGCAATCACAAACCCTCCAAGCTTCACACCCAGCCATATACAAAGCCCCATCCAACATACATATAGTGACAATACACCCTCCAATTGACAATACATACAAACAGATCATTGAACAGCGCCATACCACCACCTTTCAATCTCAAAATAATCATTTTTTTAGCCCACGATGAGCAGACAAGTTGGATCACTCCACCGATCAAACTCCCACCCTGCCAACCTTCAAAATCCACTCCCTATTATCTCACTTTTTGCTTTTCCGCCACCTGATTCACCACAAACTAAGACATCATCAGGCATGAATTCTGACACTAACTCAGATATCACAATTTATACAACAATTTCATACCCCGACCAGCTCAACAACATTCTCAAAACCTCCCTTCCGACCTATCCTACCCCAAAGCCAACATACATCTCCCTACACTCCTTCTCAAGTAACCTCAACCTACTCCCCATTCAATGTTGAGCGCTCAACCAACAACTCCCCAGATAATATTCAAATTTCCCAAGAACTAGATAATTTTATAACACTCCAACAACAATTGCTATCTCCCCACAATCTGACGATTCACCAACTATCATCAACATTAACATCATCAAATCCACCAACACCTACACCAATTTCAGACTATACTCCATCATTAGCTCAATCATCCACTTCAACAGAAACTTCCACTAGTACTAGTCGTGCTTATAGAACTTTTAAAAGGAAAATCCCAAATCACACTTTCCCATCCAAACCCGGAACTGCCCGAGAATATGTTAACCATCCAGACCACACCAATACTCCAAATTACCTTCAAATAGCCTTACTTTTCTTTCCCCAATACACCTTAAACCAATCCGATCTTAACCCCGAACCACATCATTTCATATACGAACATGTATTAATACCAACACTTCATTGGACAGCTTATTATAATTTCACTAACCCTCTTACGCTACCACTCCTTAATACCACAGTAGATATTGAAAGAAATATCAATGAATTTTTTTCTCTAACCACATCACTAACATCCATACAATTTACATACGTAGGATATAAAAAATTACTAAAACATTCACTGCACCTCGCGCTAACGACTACTCAATTGAATATTATGATCATAACATCATCAGATCGTATCAAATCCAATTTCATGACAACGATCAATTCGCAAAACCACAAATAACAGAAAGATTTTTCATTAAAACATCATACTTATTCTCACTTAATATACTCGATAAAATGCATGACCACATTATTTCAGAAGCACTATCAGACATTCAAGTATACGAATGATTTCACGAAAAATTTCAAAAAATTTCACTAACCTTTCACTTCCTCACACCAAAAGAACGTGATTTGCACTGCTCACACGACATCATGTTGAGAACTAAGCAAACACACGCCTACACTTATTATCGTTTCATTCAAAATCAATTTCATACACACACACCATCACGACAAACTCACCACAGATTTCAACTCATCAATTCCAAATACAGTTCACCGTTTTTCCTAAACTTCACGTATTGCATTAAAAACACTAACTTCCAAGGCAGCCTCCGGAGTTATGACCCAATCACTCAAATGTATATATTTTGTCCCCTCACGAAGACCTTCAACGACGAAGAATCCAGACCCCTGATCATTCCGCATGAATATATTCAACCTATAGAAGTACCCATTTTAGAATTCATCCACAACACTAAACACAATCATAAAATTTACAATCTAATCCAGATCACACCTCATGAATTTGCAGTAGGCACCGAAGAACTAAAAACCATAAAAGCACTACAATTGCTTTGGCCACTGCTGCAAACTAAAAATATCATACGCAAACTAGCAAAATTACTAACTACATCAGACGCTATTCACGATAGGTTCCCTCACGGCTTTTTCCCTGACGACTAAGGTAACTATGAAATTAATAAATTTCAAACTAACTAATTCAAAATAGAACTCACCATTTTATTCAGTAATTTGCATTTTCTTTAGTCTTCACACCACGATCACCTTCAAAACAAGAAAAAACAGATAAAAATATAAACTCTGTTTTCCATATCTAAACTCTATTAAACCAACAGCACTAAATTATGCAGTAAAAGTCAATTCAAAGTAGTAAATTCATTCATTTCTAAATTATTTCCCTAAATGTAATAAATTTAAGTACGATGAAAATTGATTTATACTTTCAACCCCAAAAGCAGTAAAATTTAGTCTTAAAAGCAGTAAATTCATACAAATGAAATGCAGTACTAACTTTTTCTATAACTTCTGTTCAAACGCACAGAAATTCTATCCACAATCGCACACCTCGCCCACGAAGAAGTGTTTAAAACAATGAATTCAAGTTTTAAGTTTTCATTGACAACGACTAAACCAGCAATAACAAGTTTCCACTTTTCCTTTAACCCGGTTGGAATGGAATTATATAATAACCAAACTAACCAACGCAGCCTACTAAACACCATAAACCATAAACTAACAGCATGACTAAGAAAAGAAAACCCACGGTACCCAAACCGGATTAAACCAGCTTAAAACTGGATAATTTATTCTTTTGAAGACTATTACCAAGTCTAAAAAAGAAACAATAAAACACCAAAAAGTCGCAAGACAAACCCAAACCAAACAATTTGATTTTTGAGAAAAGGACACAACAAACGAAACAAAAGGAAAACCAGAAATAATATAACATTAAAAGTTAACACAAAGCAGGACCCCTTGAAAAACCAGCACGAAATCATACTCCCACTACTGGCCTAACCCACCAGAGAGGACGTCCTGAGCATGCTCTATAGCCGGCCTAACCCGCCGTGCTACATCCACGCTTTGTGAACACATCAATATTTTTGACAAGAGGTACTCAAGTGTGAGTAACTCTTAAAAATAACTGAACTAAAACTAAAACGCTTTTGCGATAACAATTAACTGAAATCATAACTAAAAAATTAAAATTAACAAAATTTATAAAATGTAAATTATAATATGCAGTACATAGATTACACACAACCACAAAGATGAGCATCCAAAGATTAGACGACCCCATCATACTCAACTTACAGAATGGCTAAACACAACCGATATGCCGCTCACAAACACGACTCAAAAAAGATTTAGAGTACGACTTGACTTCGCAGAAAAGGACTTCATTGAATTAGATCAATGACCACCTCGATATCCAAGTATACGCACAGATCCGAGCTACAAGGCATTCCCTCCAAACATGATCTTCATGCCATTCCCAGACAATATGATAATCGATCCAGTTCTCCGCCCAAGCAGAACAAACAATCATAGCAAACCATTTTGAAATCAGATTGATTTCACCAACGGTTGCAGCCATCGTCGAACAAACAACAGCTCTCTTCTCCAAGAACAAAACCAGAAATAATGCTCGCCAAATATCAACGGTCATCATCCATCCTCCATTACAGAAAGAAGATACAAGATTAAAAAAACTCTGTAAACCCCGGATGGGTAGAACCAGATATAAACTATATTTTATGATTGGATAAATTAGATATTTTACCACTGTAAAGTATATAATATTAACCAATCATGATCCATCTAACTAACAACCCACTTATTTGTAAGTGCTGAAATTACTTGTAATTTCAGCACCAGAGAGATTTGAATTTAACTTAGAAATTAGTTGTCTCTCCAAGAGAACTTCAGCAGCCCCAATAAACCAGTATACCCTAGATCTATTGAGCCTAGCAGAGACTAGTTAAACACCCTGAGACTAGTAGATATAAGAGTAAGACTAGGATCGGTATTAGACTAAGAAGTTGCAGGAATCTATCCAGCCGAAATTAAGATAGCGTGACGAGCAGACGGTGTACCCTATCCGAAACTACTCTATGAGTTACACCTCGAACCTAACTCATTTTTGACCTTTTTTAAAATGTTTTTAGTCTGTTTTAGTACCACTTTTTGAAAAAATCTCCTTAACTAAACATTAATGCATTAATTGAATATCAACCCACGCTCAAAGCCCTGAGCGCTAAAAAAAGGTTACAAAAAAGTTACACTTGGTTAGTTTCCTTTCCACCCCTGCTTGATCACAGGTCGCAAAATTATCGCTTCAAAAAAAATTTTCCTTGTTTTGCCTTAAAAGTTCTAGCTTCACAATATTGTTGATAAATATACTGAGAAAAAAAACATTGTCGCAAAAATTTTTGATTACCGAATTATGAAAATTTCTCTTATATCTTCACTCTTTGTACTGCGTTTCTCGGCGTGCGAAAAAAAAATGAAAACCGAACAAAAAGTCCTTCTCATTTTTGTTGATCGAAAAAACTGCAGTGACCATGACTACATTATTTTCATTTCAGGAGCTTGGACGAAAATGACCTTGAGCAGCTTAGGATGAATATTTGAGATAGTGTTCTGATTATTGAGTCTACAAATTTGTAGTTTTGTTTTACGTTGTCAAATTAGCTCTAAGTGACCTTCAATTTTGCTAAAATATACAGAATTAGTTGGATTCCAGCGATGACCAAAAAAGTGCGAGACCTCGACATATTCGGCATTGAAGAATATAGCCAATGACAACCGGTCATTATCAATGTTTATTCACAACCCATATAACAGCAAATATCATGTTACTAATTTAAACAGTACAAACTGAGCAAAAGTACTTCTTTAGTTAAACTCAAATTACAGGTTAAATTTTGAAGGAAAAATCATTTAATTCTTTTTTCTTAATATGGACACTCTCTTAATTTTAATCACCTCAACATCCATTCTGTTTTCTGCCCAATTCAGCTATTCAGTACCTGTCAGTGAAGATGTTCGTGACAGATGGTCCGATGGTCCAGTAAACCTAACCGACTCTCTTGTGTCCGAAATAGTGAATGGAATTAGGAGCGGGACTCGCCTGTTCTACGTGAGACTTCGGCTGCCACCACCACGTGGCTTCTGCGGCGGATCCATCATCGACCCTCAGTGGGTGCTCACTTCAACTAAGTGTCTTGATCTATTTATTAGTAAGTTGTATGTCTTGCACCATTTTTCAACAGTGAAGGAAGTTGAATGGCGAAGCATGAGTGAGGATAGGCTGGCTTTAAGAGAGGGATTATTTTTGGGATAACACTGATTATGATTTACCATGAAAGATGAAAAAGTAGAAAGAAGAAAAATAGAGCCATTTTTAAAAAAAGACTAATATGAATTACTTTAGTGATATCGAGTATATTCAGAATTATTGAAAAATCTTTGATAATGCAACTAGATTTTTTTCGACCAGAAGACTTGAGCAAATTTTGATTCTTCATTAGGTTTTGCTGGAATGTATTGAATAATTTATCTTTTTAGCTGATGAAATCGTTGTTGAAATTGGAGACTTTTCGATGCCATTCTCACGAAAAATAATGTCGGAAGTTTCTGCAATTTATGCCGCACCCGGGTAATTTTTTGAAATCAACATTCTAATTGCACTACGACAAACAATTCAAGGTTTTTCATCCGCAAACTGAAACAGTCGATTTAAATCAAAATTCAAACTTGTTTTTCAATGGAAGTTTCTTAAGTTTTTTCCAATAAAATTCTGTTTGCCAGTTACCGATCGGGACCAACGCCTGCAAACGACATGGCACTCGTGAAACTGACCAGGCGAGTTCCCGAGGAGTTCAGAATACCTATGTGCCGACAAGAACAAGTACCTCATTCGGTCATGCTCGGCACTGTCGGAATGGGCGCGACAGTAAGTCGCGGAAAGCTCCTCGAGAGCATTCCGAACTCGCTCCGTGAAATATTCCTGCGGGAATCTCGCGGAAGATTTCCGACCTCTTGGCGACCGTTTTCGATCCAGTTTTGTCCCGATTATAACATATGTACTGAACCGATAACTGAGGGTAGCAACATATGCATGTTTGATTATGGAGGACCACTGTATAAATTCGAATGTGCAAGCACGACCCCTAATTGTTTGTATGGGGTGGCGAGTTTTTCGACCAACAGACTGGATCGGCCGGACGAAATGTGCAACGGTGGAAGTACATTCACAAGTGTTCCCCATTTCTTCGAGTGGATATCAGGCACAATGGCCAGTGGTTGAAGTCCTGTGTTATTTTTTTAATCGTACTTGATATCATTTTTGGGAACAATCTTAGCTTTTATATCGTATTTTTATAGATTTTGAATATACTGTATCTACTTTTATCCCATTTTTAGCTCAGTAATTTAAAATTTCTGTTTGTTTTGAAAAAAATCAAAGCTTGAAAGAGTTCTTTGAGACATTTTTGGAAATCAATGAAATTATGAATCAATGAGTCATACATCTGCAAATTGCAATGAATAAATTTTTTATTAGTGCTTCAATTTAGAAAAGCTCCTTCAATTGTAACGGGGAAAAACAAAAACAGTATGTGGTTTGTTTTTAATTTTTTAACTTTTGCTGTTTGTTGGGTTCCGAAGTGCTGCTGTTGAAATTCAAAAACCAAGTGATAATAATCCTTAAGTACGGTAGGTTAGAAACTGTGCCAGCATTCTTTGAGAACAAATAGCCAAACGACTTCGCATATCAGAAGGTTGTGGCTACCCCTCAAGGACTATGGAATTGTATTTTATAAAAAATAATTTCAAAAAATCGATGAAAAAAAGTAAGAAATAGCACAAAAATATTGGGCATACTTTAAACATGTGAAACTCCTTGTTAAGTTTGAACTTAAAACGATAATACTTTCATGTGGTAAAGAAAATGCATTTGAAAAATGCCAAATGAAAACTTTTAAAATTGTCTAAAGTAAGGAAAACCACACTGTAGCCTAAATATTCCATCAATTCTGCTGATCAGCAAGGTTGAAAAGCCTATCACTGTGCAAGAGGCACAGTGTGTTGTGACGCAGCAAGATTGTATAAACAGCTTTGTAAAAGGAAAAAAACAAAAATTTCCACAAAACTTGATGTCGGAAGTTTTCAACCTTTCTCCTTTCACAATAGTTAATTTTTTTCTTTCCAATTCACGTCCCTCATTCCCTCCTTGCACCCATCGCATGTTAAGCCACTTTTCATGCCAACGCTGCACGACAGCCACTAGCCCATCCCACATTGTTATGAAGTTTATATGTGAACTAACCGTGCCATACATTTTTTAATAATGCTTCAATTTCGAAAAGCTGCTTCAAGTGTTTCAAAAAAAATAATAATAAATTTCGTTGTTAGTTTTCAGATTTTTTTTAGATTTCGTTGCTGTTCTGTTGGGTTCTCCGAAGTGTTGCAGATGCAATTTAAGTACTAAGAGGGAGTAATCTCTAAAATAGATTAAAAATATGAATGGTAGCAATTCTTGAGTTCAAAAAGCTACAAAACTTCAAGTATCAGAAAGTTTCGACTACTATAAAAGTCTACGAAAAAGATTTTTCTGAGAACTTTAAAAAAAGGATGGATAAAAATTGTTTCAGGTTTCTTGAAACCACTTCAATTCAATTCAAGCGCAAAGAAATAGTTTCAGGGCTTAGAAACATATTTGTGATTTCAAATTGCTCGCAAACTTTCATTTTGCGACAATTTCACAGCTAGATTATTACAACTCTCCGTCGTTGCAGCAAGTTATAATCTGAAATACATCAAATGTTCTACACCAGTCTGATTGGCAACTTTCAAAAAATGAAATGGCTTGTAAAACTTTAAGTTACCAGTATAGTGTGGTAAAAAAAACACTGAAAAATGGCATGAAAACTTGAAAATTGTCTTGAGAAAAGAAAAGCAAACCGTAGCTGAAATATTCCATGATCGCTGCGTATAAGCAAGAAAACCCTTTCGCTGTGCAAGCAGCATTGTTTGATGTGATCAAGTGTTTTTATAAGCAATGTTAATTTAAAAAAAAATCATAATATTGTCCAAAATATTATTGTCGGAAGTTCTAAAAACTTTTCCCTTTATAAAATTGTAAGTTTTCCTTTCTTCTACTTTTTCAATTTTTCCGGTCTTTTTTTTTCATTTTCGTCTCAATTTTTGTCTTTCGTTCCCAACGTAATCCCTCTTTTATTTTTTAGGCCAAACATACACCCCTGTAATGAAATTGCAATGAAAACAATTATTTATCATACATTTTTAGCACTGCTTCATTTTACAAAAATTGCTTTGATTGTACTGAAAAAAAAACACAATCAGTGCTCAGCGTTTGTTTTAGTTTTTTGTTTTTGTTGCAGTTTTGAAAAGTTCTGTGGAAGGATGCATTCAGAATATAAGTACCAAGAGCTAATAATAGTTAAGTAACTCAAATTTAAACTATGGCAGCTTTTTTGAATTCAAATAGCAGCAATACTTAATATATTAGAAGTTTTTGACTATACCTCAAAGTCTCTGGAAACTTATTTTATATTCAAAAAATTTTGTTCAGATTTTTTAAGACCCCCACGAGCCACTTTAAGCTCAAAGGAATTCTATTAACTTTCAGAAACATTTTATTAATTCGAGTAGCTCCCATAAACATTTTTGACGCAACTTCTCAGCATAATTCAAATGCTGCTCACTCGCTATCACAAACAAACACACACAAAAAACAAAAAGATTTTCCATTATTAGCCTGATTGAAAATTTTCAAACAAATGATTTTTTAATTTAACTTAGCTCAATAAAAAGATTTGGTAGAGAAAACACAATTGAAAGTAGGCAAATGAAAACTCGAACTTCGTTTTGAGAAAAAACTCCACTTCTGCCTAATCATTCCATCAACTCTACGAACAAACAAAAAAAATTCCTCGCTGTGCATGCAGCAGAGTATGTTATGATCAAGCAATTTCGTATAAGCAATTTTGTACAAAAAAAAAACAAAAATTGAAAATTCCACAAAAAAATCTTCCTGCAGTTAACGCCACGCCTAGATAGTTTTTTTCATTGTAACATGTTGATTCCGTACAATGAACAAACTTGTTTCCTTAATTGGAAAACAATTTAATTTGACAAATCATAATCTCTTTTTCAATTAAAAAATTTGAAAGAGTTCTCCAAAAGAGCTGTATCTATTTGCTAGATACCAAACAAGAAAAACGCTCGCAAACGACATGGCGCTCTTGAAGCTGACCAAACAAGTTCCTGATTAGTTCATAGTATTTATGTGACGACAAGAACAAGTAATTCCCTCGGTCAATCTCGGCCTTGTCGGAATAGGCCTGACAGTCCGTCGCCGAAAATTCCTCGAGAGCATTCCGAACTCGCTCTGTGAGAACTTCTCGAGCCAGTCTCGCAAAAAAGCTCCTACCTCTTGTCATTTCGTATCACATTTTGTCACGATTACAACATCCGTACTGAACCCATAACTGAGGGTAGCATTATTTGCATATTTGAGTAAGTAGGATCAGTGTTTAAGGTTGAATGTGCAAGCATAACACCTTATTGTTCGTATGATCAACTTTTCGATCAACAAACTGGATCGGCCGAATGGATTGGCGCATTGGTAGAAGTACATTTAAAAGTGTTCCACATTTCCCCGAGTGCATATCAAGGAAACTGGCCAGTGGTTTAATTCTTGTGTTATTTTACTGGTATCGTACCTCGTATTGTTTTTGAGGCCAATTTTAGCTTCTATATCTTAGTTCAGTATTTCAGTATATTTTCAAACATACTGTTTCTAATCTAAGCTAGCTCTAATCTTTTTTTAGCTCATTAATTGGATTTTTTTGCCTTTGAAGAAAAAAGTAGCCGTCTGGTAGTTTTCACACAAGTTATAAGTTCATGAGTTGGAACATTAACCCCGGGTTGACCAAAAAGGCTAGTCATAAAATTTCCATACGATTCCATACGTACAGAAAATGGCATGAAAGGTCTATGATTTGTATTTTTTCATATATGGAAATTGTATGACTAGCATTTTTTCATATATGGAAAGTGTATGACTAGCATTTTTTCATATACGCAAATTGTAATTTTAGAAATTTTTCATGTATGAAAATTTTATGACTAGCATTTTTTAACAATTAGAAATCCAGCAAGAAGAGGCAAAAAACTAATTTAATCCCCATCCCATACGACGAGCAGTCTCTGAACAGAGAAGAAAAAAACCAGAGAAAATTTGATTTCTTGTAGTCAATTCTCTTCACACGCTGAGAAAGCAGAGCATTTCTTAATCTTATCCTAGGGGGCTCCAAACCAGGAGATACTGCCTCAGGAAAACTAAGAAAAAAACCTTTTAGCTAGCTAAGTAATCCAAAACAAGAAACAGTCCACCAGAGGCATCAATATTCTGGAAGTCTTCTCTTTGAGATCACTTTTGGAATCATGTATGAGAAGATGCAGTCATTTCGATACCAAAACAAGAAAATAATACCTTTAAAATTCGAGTATACTCATTTTGCAAAATTGTATGACTTTTGTATGACTAGCATTTTTCCATAGATTAAGTGTATGAAATTGTATGATTAGCATTTTTGGTCTATGGAGGTCAACCCGGGATACCTTTCATTTGGTACAGAAACACTGTTGAAAAATGGCATATAAAAACTCGAAATTTGACGTAGGAAAAGTAAACTGAACCATAGGATGAATATTCCGCCATTTCTGCGGAACAGCAAAGAAATCACATTGCTTTGCAACATCGCAGTATGTTATGACCAAACATGTTTCTATCGAAAATGTTGGATCAAAGTTTGAAAAGAGTGTGTTGTTTTTTTTTCTTTCTTTTTTCGTTTATTGAACCATACGGCTAAATTAGACAGTTTCATGCATCAAACCAGAAAACTTCATGTAAATGCCTTCTGCATACTCCAGTCTTAAAAACGTATCTGAAAAACGAGAACAGTCAGGGGTCTGCGAGGGTTTAATGTGATACTAGACTCGGCCTCAAGAGTTTTCATAGAAATTGTATAAAACTGGTTTGAAGAAAAAACAAACCTATAGTTCCCTCTCACTTCGTGAAATAACCGGAACAAAAGAAACATAAGAAAACTTAATACTTTTGAGGGAAATTGAATAGTAATTGAAAAAGTTTTCGGTCGATGTTTTCACTGCAAATATTTTTCGAGACACTATTAATTTTATTTCTGTTCGAATCAAGAATCTTAACTTTTGGCAAAATTTAGCCTTGTTTTGGCGCCGGTTCCGGCAAAAAAGCTCGTTTTTGCAACAAAGATGTATCTTTTGGCATTCCTCAGTTTTCCGCTCGGTTG